AATCTGTTTCCTTGACTAGCTCCTAAATAAAAATTCTTTTGAAATTGTCCAAGGAGCAATGTAATAGACACTTTGCAGAGTTCAATGGTGAATGGTATCAATTTAAATAAATTTTCCATTGAATTTTGCATTGAGGGGAGCTAGTATTACTGATAGAAACAGAGTATTTTTTTCTGACACTGAAGAGTTCATTTGCAAATAAACTGTAAGGCGTTTAGAGGACGACAGCACATCTACAGCTTAATTTTGTTTGATCACACAATTTGTAATAGGTTTGGCTATACATAATTAATAAATATCAACTTGTAGGGACCCAATTTTCAATTGCTTGATATTATTAATGTTACCAAAAGCTAGAGTTAAAAAAAAATTGGCTAAGATCCAAGAAAAAAATGACAAATGCTAGCAAGGACATGGGTAAAGAAGAACACTCATTTAGTGGTCATGGGAATGCAAACTGGTGCAGTCACTATGAAAATCAGTGATCCAGCTCTACCACATGATCCCACTCTCGATTATATAATGGTCTCTGTATCCTACTACAGAAATACCTGCTCATTCATGTTCAGTGCTGCTCTATTCACAACATCCAGGAAATGGAAACAGTCCAGATGTCCATCAACTAGTAAAGGAACAATGAATGTATGGTACAGTTACACAAGGGACTATTATTCAACTGTTAAGAAAAACGAAATTATGAAATTCAAGGGTAAATCAATGGAACTGGAAACAATAACCCTGAGTGAGGTAAGTTAGAATCAGAAAGACAAATGCTGTGTGCTCTCTCTCATATGTGGATGCTAGCTTTGAATCGTTCGATATGTGTATTTCAACTGGAAAAATTCACAGAGGTCAGGAAACTTATAAGGGCTCGTGGGAGGGGAGATAGAATGCAGTCATTTAAAGGGGGAAAGGAGAATGATGGAATGAGAAGAATGAGGTGAGGTGGGGGATGGAAGGGCAGAGTAGAGAGAGCGTGGGAAGGAATAACACTAAAGGTCTTTTGAAAATCTCCTATGGAAGTCTACTATTGTAGAGGCCACTTAAATATATACATATAGATATATAAAAAGAATTTAGGGACTGGAGAGATGGTACTGGCTGCTCTTACAGAGGACCTGGGTTCAGTTCCTCATAGTGAAAGTGAGCTGTAAGGGTCATGTGTTATTTCCAGGGATACTGGGCATTTATACTTATTTACTACAAGGAGAGAGTAATAGCCAAAATCCAGTCAACAAATTCCAATGAGTTTCGATTAGAGAGAACAGGTGCCTGAACATACATCTGGGCAAAGTTGTAGAGGATGCTTTCCCGTTCTGCTGCAGGCCTGGCTAAACAGTACTGAGGGTCTCTTTCCTCAAAATAATGCAGGCAGCACTGGATGGAGCAGCAAACCTGCTATGCTCATCATTCATACACAGCAAGCTGGCCTGCCTCTTTCCTTGACCTCAACTCTGCAGTGGTCTTTACAGAGATACAGAGCTGCCATCTAGTGACCAAGATGTAAAAAGCAAAAGGCTTGTGAGTGGAAATTGTGAACTTATTTCCTCAAGTAATTAAGTACTAAAATTAATATCATTTTGCACATCAAAGTTAGAGTAAAACTTCACTAAAGTGAGCTAATAATCCATATGTCTCTATTTTATATTTTGGATTATTTGTTTTGGGAGCAGTTTCTCCCTGTCGCCCCAGCTTGTCTAGAACGCATTGTGCTGACCAAGCTGGCTTTTATCTCAGAGAGATCTGCCTGCCTCTGCCTCCCAAGTTCTGGGATTAAAACCATGGGTCACCTCACCCACCTCTACTAATGTCTTAATATTGACACCTGATTCATAAATTATATAGTTTAAAATCAATAGAATAACTTTTAAATGAATTTCTCATTTCATCCATTCAATTGTTTTAGAAAGATGGTAGTGAAGAGTCATATGGGAATTATCAACATAAGAGTAAGATTTCTTTTATCATAGTAGCTGCTTTAAAAATACCTATACACAAATCTTAGCTTAACACTATCAACTTTGTGGCATCAGGCAAGTTATTTTTAACTCCTCTAAATATCATTTTTTTTAGTAAAATGGAAAATATAATAAATATTTGAAAGGATTCCTGTAGGGACTACACAAGGTAAAGAATAAGTTCACTGTAGATTAACAATTAATTCTAGGGGCTGGAGAGATGTCTCAGTGGTTACGAGCATTGGCTATTCTTACAGAAGACACAGGTTCGAATCCCAGCACCCACACAGTAGCTAACAACTGTTCATTACTCTAGTTCCACAGGATCCAATGCCTTCTTCTGTCCTCCAAGGGTACTGCACAACACAGATGCACATACACACAAGCAGGCACAACACTTGCAAACATTTTTTAAATTTTATTTATTATTTTTATCTTTTTATGTGTGTGAGTGTATTGCCTGCATGTATGTGAGTGCACCCATGTTGTACAATGCTGCGGAGATCAGAAGAGGGCTTCAGATTCCCCTGGAACTGGAGTTAAGGATGGTTCGTAGCTGCCATGTGGGCGCTGGGAATCAAACTGGATCCACTGCAGGAGCAGTCAGTGCTCTTAACTGCTGAGCCATCTCTCCAGCCCTGACACTTGTATACATTTTTTAAATTGTTTTAATTAATTAGAGTTCCTTGTGTGTCCCCCTGCCCCCAGTCAGTTATTTTAGGCTCATATGAGACATATCCATAAAAAGAACTTATAATGAAGAGTCCATGAATTTAAAACTAAGTCTGTCATTGAATACTGAACCTTGACTGTTTTCAGTATTGCTACCTCTCAATTATTGTGCCCTGTTTTTCTGACTTCTACACATTTCACAGTCAATACAGAACAAGTATTCTTCCAAATCCACTCACTCTTCCATCTTTGAACATCTGCTTTTAAATGGTGCACCCCATTACATCTTCTCCCAATTTTAATATATTTTATCATTGTCACAGTTTCAGAAAAACAAATCACTCTGTCTATTTGACTATATATCTTAAAATCTTGTAGCTTTAATCTTAGCACAGAGTACAAGGTTGTGCATGTTTTATCACTGTTACTACAGAATACTTCTCATTTGGGTCCCTTTAGCATTGTCATATACAACAAAGAATCTAATATTTATTCAAATAATGATCTGTTCATGCCTAGCTATAAAAATAAAGTGGAAAATCTGAGAAGATATTTTGAGGGCAAGAAGTTTTTGACCATTGCCTACTTTACTATTCCATTTTCCTCTTTTTAGCTTTCTTTTCCTAGTTCACTATAAACTAATCAATATAGTTAAGTACATAAGCATTCGCTGGGCCCACAGGCCTCCCCTCGTGTGCCAACATTGATATCTGTCTCTCCTCTAACAACAAAAGAAGAAAATACTGAGCTGGGAAAGTTATTTTATGACACCATCCTTAAGAGTAGCTTTATCCCTAATGATAAAAGCTCAGATCTCTTTAATTTTGTAGAGCATCTGGATTCTATTAAATTTCTCCTCCAGGAAGAGTGATACCTTTAATGTAAGATGGAAGACTTTTTTTTCAAACATAATTCAAAAGAGCCAGGCAGAGTGGCTAATTCCTTTAGTCCTAGCACTTGGAAGGCAGACATAGGTGGAGCTCTGTGAGATCAAGGCCAGCCTGGTCTACATTGTGAATTCCAGGCAAGGTGGTTGCTAAAGGAAGACCCTGTCTCAAAAAGACCAAAAGTAGAAAAACAAAAATAAAAAGAAAACAAAACAGAATTCAGCTTTCATTTTAAAGAAACAGATTTGCATTTAGAGCTCAAGTGTGAATCCTTTTGTCTACTGGACCATACTCAGTAGAAATGAGTAAATATCCTTGCTATTGATGTCCAAAGTAGACTTTCTAATACACTACCAAGTTATTTTCAAAAGAATAGTTGGGTATAATTATAACTAAGTGAAAATATTACCTGTATATCCAAAACAGTAATTACTATCTCTAGTCAGTGATTCAGTGTTCTACAAAATGGTTCCTTTCTTACCATGTTTTAATTATTTACTTCTGTGTATATATGTGTTTGCATATGTGTAGATATGTGGGTGGGGGTACATATGCATATGTGTACATGTGTACATGTGTACAGGGAGGCCAGAAGTTAATGTCAGATGTCTTCCTCAATCACTTTCTATCATTTATTTATTTATTTATTTATTTATTTATTTATTATTTATTGAGACAGGGTCTCACACTGAAACTGCAGTTTACCAATTTGACTAGGCTGAATGTTCACTGAATTCCCAGGATCCACATGTCTCTGCCTCTCCAGCACTGGGATTATAGATGTCCACTGCCACCCCCAGCTTTTTTTCTTTTTTACATAGATATTATAGACCCAGTCTGGGATCTTCATCCTTACATAGCAACCATTTCACCAAATGAGTCATCGCCCCAACACATCTTGGTAGTTTAAGATAGCAAGCTCCTTTGAATATAAGAAAAATACATAGAATATTGGCTTCATTAGTAACAGATGAAACAGTCTAAACAGACACCAGCAAGTGTTGCCTCCTCCAAAGCAATTTAAGAAGCTAGGTCATCAATGGCACAATCATTACCGACCATGTGTAAAGTCCTCGGTCCCATCTATAGCATGGCAGAAAAGACTCGTACTTGATCTTAGAATCACTATGACAAATTGTTTAAAGAGTACCCCTGTACTATAATTAGGCACATCACAGCACAAATATTTCCTGATATGGCCAGAATTGTTTACTGGAAACAGCTAATATTAGGACCAACTTTGTAGCTGGGTGTTGAATGGTGTAATCATTTGCAAAGTTTGTACTCACTTTCACTTGAAGACTGAATTTCATTGCAAAATACAAATCAAAGGAAGCATTCCTTTTTGCCTGACTAGGCTCTCCTGCAGGCTTAGTACCAGGTCAGTCCAGCCATCTGGGCAGACAGGAGGATGAATCATAGAGCCTATAACCATTTGAAGACAAGAGAAATGGGGATTGACATCCTAATAAGATCTTCTTACCTGTTGGACAGCATTTGAACATTTTTTCGGGCTTTCCAAAATAGAGGATTGAAGTTCTGGATTGGAAAGGAAGCAGACAGTTAATATCATAAAGAACAAATCTTTGCATTTGCTCAGGCAAAAACTAAAACTTTCACTAAAATACATCTTTACCCATAAGTATGAAAATATCCTGTCTCTCTTCCAGTTCTGTTAATGTATCATGAATAAATGACTTCCTTTCAATACACAATACATGAATAATGCAAATACTCGTGTCATTGGCTGTTTTGAAAACAGGAGTAGCCCTATGCTCTTCTCCAAACACCAAGTGCCAAGTTCTTGCTACGATTTTCAATTAGCTTAGTGAAAGTTTGTATATGATGGAAACCACCCCATCTTGAATCAGCCTAGGATTTCAAAGGCCTTAGATAATGACAAATTCACTTAGGATTTTAATGAGGCATAATGAATACTGCCACCTAGAGGCATGAGTAACAAAGATTCTAAAAGGATTTTCTACTTTGAGGCTTTTTTTTTTTTTTATCATTTGAGATTCATGAGTTGGCATATTCGTCATACTGTAAAATCTAAGGACATTTGCAAACGCTAAGGTTTTTGTCTAAGCTAGAGGACACTTCCTTTGAAGTGAAGCTTGCGTACAAATTTAAGAATAGAAAATTAGATATAGAAGGGTCACCATGCATCCCCAATGTTCCAAGGAACAGGATCTGAACACCACTATCCTCACACATCCTATGAATTTTAGAGATAAGCAACACAAGGCACATTGCAGAAACTGCTGGTGGCAAGATGCTAGAGGCTGAGTCCTCTGCCTGTCACACTCCTGGCCTGTTAAAGGCATGCATACTAGACACTGGAAACAAGCTACAACAGTCACAGTTCGCAATTATTTTAACAACCCCAGCATGGAAATAATACACAAAACAATGCTACAGAAAAATAGGAAGTATTGGGTATTTAAAGAGCATAACACACTGCAAACTACTCTTAAAGCTTTCATCATACTCAGGTGAACATCACAGTCTTGACACAGACTCACTGACCCAGTTTCATTAGCCTCTCTGCACATTAATTTCTAACCATCCTACCTTCTCTATTTGTTCATTATGATCTGTCCCCCATGACCAGTTTTCATCTTCTAATATCTCCAACACACCACTTCAACAGGACCTCCAAGGCCACAGGGCTGCTGTCTCTACCTGGAACCTTCCTTCTGCTTCCTGACACCTGAATGCTGCCCTTTCCCAGCTCCTTGGCTCTTTCTCTGAGAACTTTGTACTCTATAGTAGCATCTTCTCAGTTTCCCAGCATGCCCTGGTCTCCAGTCCTTACTTCTTCCACAGCATGAGTCATCACACTCCATATTCCATAAGTCGCTTTTTGCCTACTTATTTGTTGTCTCTCTTATCTCTTACTCCATGTTATTATTTGGACTGGGAAGGTTCCCCCAAACACTCATGCCTTCAAGGCTTGGCCTTGGGCTGGTGATGCTATTGGTGAGACTTTCAGGAGATAGAGTATAAAGTAGTTCACAATGGCATCCTGGACAATCTCTCTCTCTCTCTCTCTCTCTCTCTCTCTCTCTCTCTCTCTCTCTTTCTCTCTCTCTCTCCTCTCCTCTCCTCTCCTCTCCTCTCCTCTCCTCTCTTGTTTCTCTCCTTTTTTTTCATCTTCCCAACTGGTATAAAGTAATCAGGTTTCTTTTAAAGATTTATCTCCTTTTTTGTGTACACATGTGCACCATGTGCATGCCTGGTATCCAAAAAGAAAATCCCCTTGGAACTGGAGTTACAGATGGCTCTGAGCTGCCATGTGGGTGCTGAGAACAGAACCTGAGTCTTCTGAAAGAGCAGTAAGTACTCTTAACTGCTGAGCCATCTCTCCAACCCAGTAATCAGCTTTGATCAGCCATGCACTCTCCACCATAATGCTCTCTCTCTCTGCAGTCCTGTACCACAGTGCCTAATGACCGTGAACAGAAACCTCTGAAATCATGAGCCAAAATAAATGTTTTTATCCTCTAAGTTCATTTTATTACATACCTCTCATGATAGAAAGCTAAGCAACATGCTCCACTACAACTAAACTCCATGAAAGTGGGCATTTCTGTCAAATATTGCCTCTTGATGTACACTAACATTTATAATAGTCCCTTTTAAAAATAGAGCTTAAAATATTGTTGAAGTGAATATAAGAAGAGGAATAAGAAACATGTAATGAAAGATCTCATCAAGAAATAGTGTAGCACCCCCCCCCAAATGTGATAAGCTAGTTAGGGATGAAGAAGGATTCCATGGTTTCATAAAAGGCAGAGTAGATATGCCTTGCATCTAACTACTTTATGAACTTCAACAAAGCCAGTATCTACAAAACAAAGTTGGAGAATAGTATGAAGCAGTCACTTACCAATAGATGTCATGGGGACAACAGAATCAAAGCAGGCGACCTTAAAAGGCGACCGTTTTCCCAGATAACACTTTCATCAGGCTAATCAAAACAGGGATTCTTCTATCTACATTGCACTTGACACCAGAGTCATCTACATTTCAATAGCAATCGCTTGTTTAAAAGCTAATCAGTAGTTAATAAAGCAAATCCAAAGTCTGTTTCCATCACCTCCACACACATCACAAATAGACCCATGATAAGTCCTGGATTAGCACACATGGAGGAAAGTGTCATTCATTCCTCTTCTTAGTTAAATAGTATAGTAAGAGCAAACTGATCCTAGTACCGCACTAACATTTGTTAGACAAGCATACAAAGTTTCCTATGTTTTTCTTACAAGTCCTTGACCTGGTAAACTGCTCAAGAAACTAGCTTCCAGTTGGTCGGTGGAGAACAAGTACATTCACCAGAATAATGTAATTAGAAAACTGTGTACTAGAAAGATTACCCAATATTGTGGACTTCTACATTCAGACTCTCGGCTTCCCTGTATCCCATTCACCAGTCACCTGATCCAATTCATTCTCCATCTCTGTCTCCACCTTGTTCACTGATCTCTTTTATTGAATCTGTGTTTTAAAATACTGAAGAAAAATGTATATCTCGAAATACTGTGCAAAATCACAAGCTGGGATGTAGGAATCTGGAAGGTCAGGATTATAAGATGAAGACTACAGATAAAGGGACTCTACTGCAAAGTAAAGCAAGACTGGATGAGAAAAACCAAGATGAAGTAATACAAATATGGAGAGGGGGAAATATTAGGGTGACAGAGACAGAGAGAAGAAGACAGTAAAGGTTCAGAAAGCAAACAGAGCAAAAGACAAATACCCAAAGCACCATGCAGGGGGTAAGAGGAGAAAATGGTAAGTGAGCTGCATCCTGAGTATCAGACCCTTTCATGGGGAAGGTGGATTTGAAACACGAGCTTAACTCAGTCCACACTGAGCTTCCTTGAAGGACATGACTGTCCCTCACACAAACTGGTGTATCTTTCTTCAACCTAGATCCAATGGTACTTTCCAGAATGTTTATCAGCCAGCTTTGGGACTGAAAATGTCTCCAAGAAATACTGAACAGTTATTTTAAAGAGTGGTCCAATGTGCACACCTGAGAGTACGTTGAAAACTATCAACTTCAACTTCATTGCCTTCTGAAAAATTCAGAAACCAGACCACTCCCTTTTTAATATCACTACATATCAAAGAGGGAGAAAGAATATTCTTGACTAATCTTTCAATGTTCCATATTTTTAGAGTTACTTCACAAAATTCTGACTACAATCTAAAATTCCTGGTTTCCTACTAAACGTAATTTATATGTTTTGTTGCTGTTTGTAGCTATAAAACACTTCTGACCTTAAACTCATGATCCTCCTACTTCCACTTCCCAAGTGTAGAATTATAAGTATGTTCCACTGTTATGGCTAATCTTGGTTGTCAACTTGATGCACCTGGGGAAAAGGGAACCTCCTTTGAGGGACTACCTGGCTACTGGATATGAGAGGTAGCAAGATGGCCATCATAGGCTTCTCTACCTAAAATGGATAGTGAATTAAATCACCAGTTCGAAACTACAAAATATATCTCCTCACAGTGAAGTAGATAGTCATAAGCAGTTTTACCCTTTAAGTGAATGTAGACTCATATAAGAGTTATTGAATTACATCTTCCTTAATGGTATATGTCAATTTGTTTCAAATCTAGTTAATTTAATTGTCAGATAATTCCTTGAATAACATTTAAATTGCATGCTTTGTGATGGGCTGTCTCATACATGATAGATGTTTTAAATTCTGATATGGTATATCTTTGAATGTGGAAATGGGGGGGACTGACAATGTTCAAAACAGCCTCTTCCATATGCTCTGCTTATTTGATTCTTTACTAGTATGGCTCATCCCATCACTGCCAACAAAAGATGTCCATACTTGGATATTAACAGGAAAAGCTGAAAATACAGGATGCCCGCCAACCCCTGCCACATACACTCAAATACTGACACACAATCCATCTATTCTTACCTATTTTGCCTGGTTTATGTTGAAGCCCATGGAGAAAAAACACTATCAATTCATGATTGGTCCTCCTGCATTCCATCAACTAAAAAGTGTCAAAGCATTTGGATAAAACACGGAAATGGGTTGATGATTTAATTGCAGTATAGTATACATCTCCTTTTTTAAAAGACTCCTCTGTGTGTGTGTGTGTGTATGTGTGTGGGGGGGGTGTGTGTGCACACATTTATGCCACATATGTGAGGATGTCCATGGCGGCCAGAAGAGGGTGTTGAATCCCCTGGATCCTCAGGACATGAATGCTGGGAACCAAACTTGGGTCCTCTGCAAGGGCAGCAAGCACTCTTAACCACTGAGTCATCTCTCCAGCCCTCCAATATCCTTCTTCTTAGGGGTTGTAAGAGACATTGCTTTTGGATATCATTGGCTAAGAAATTTGAGGCTCTCTAAGCCACTGTTGTTTTCAATCTCACGGCCATTAAGGATGTTCCCTTTTCCTCCTTGAAATGGAGAAATACATTTCCAGTTACCTTAAAATGTTACAGATTCTTCTGAGGTATATTTCAGTAAGCTAAGCTAACCCAGATT